GCAGATCCTGGTGGCAGAAAATAGGTGAGTCTGCGAAGGGCCCCCCATGAACAGGCACAGCTCTCCCCACTGCAGGCTTGCTGCTGCCCTGCATCTCCTCCACTCATCCCACCCACATCCCCCAGATTCCCCTTCTCTGGGTGTTCCTGGTGCATAAATCCCCTTGGCTCCGCACCACATCAGTCCATGCCCCAGCACTTACACAGAGGGGTCCCTACTTGCTGGTCACACCCAGGCAACGGCATCCCTCCGCTGGCTGGAGGGAGGAGGGTGAACCCCAGCTCAGGGATGCTGGTGAGGATCGGGGTGTCCTCATGAGCCCCCCTCAGCCTGCGGCCACCCAGACAAGACATCCTTTGTGGCTGAGCTGGGTCGGTTTGGCTGACACAGAGCATCTGACCCTAAGGACGGACACGACTTCCCCTTAGCCATAACCACAGCAGGAAGAGGAGGACAAAGCCAGCTCCCAGAGACTTCCTGCTGCTGGAGTGAGGCCATAAGGAGGGGGCTGGCTGGTGAGCATCCCTTGGAGCCCCTCAGCCCATGCTCCCTAGCTCAGAGGCTGGAGGTGCATGTGCTGCTCCCTAGGAGAGGTGAGAGGTGCTGGACTGGCCCTGCCAAAGTGGTGGCAGAGGGGGGGTGGGAGCTTGTGTACAAGTGTGTGTACAAGGGGGCACGTGCACAGCCAACACATCTAAATGCACGCCCACAGGGTCCCCTGACAGATGAACTCTTCCCTCTGCCCCATGCCTGGTATGACATGCCCTGGCAGCACCGCACTGCGGCATGCCGGTCCCAGAGAGGAGCCATGTACCTGATATAAGCTGGGTCAGGATAAGGCCTTTCTCTCCTGGCATCCCTCAGGCAAACACATGGCTCTGCCAGCTCCACTCTCCCTCAGTGCTCCCAGATCCAGCCAGGGCTTTGGGTGTTTGTGGAGGAAGTCTGGCCAAAGTTTAGGGTCTTGCTCCGGCTTCCTGGGTGATGTGTCTAGCTGTAAGGTTGTGGTCTCACAGCCTGGACCTTGCTGCATGCACTGGCAGGCAAAAAGAAGCAACAGCTAAATCAGGAAAGTCCATTAGAGTGGAATTAATCCCAGGAAACATCACTAGCACAGTCTGAATTCAGCACTCAGATTCCTGGCAAGAGAAAGCTGCTGCTGGAGTTGCCATCTCTACTCCACAAGCAGAGTCTCAGAGTAGCAGTGGGCCCCCAGCCCTCACTCCCCACAGCCTGACCCACCATCAACCTCTGGGTGATGGCAGGGAGGTATAAGGTCCCCCCACCACGGTTCAGGCCTCTGGCTTAGAGACCTCTCCCAGCATCTGTGTGCAGCAGCAGTGCTTTGCTGGGAGCTGGACTGGACCTGGCTCCATGCTGGGAGCTGGTGGGGCTGTGTTTGTCATCCAGCTCTGTGCTGAGCCTGGGCTTGGGGCCAGTCCCAGGCTGGGGCTTTCTTTTCCAGAGCTCTCCACAGTGTTTGCTGCCAAACCCACCCCAAGGTCAGTGTGAGCCATGTGGGCCACAGGCTTCCCAGAAATGCTCTTCCTGTCGGCCAGCACAGAGAGCCTGACGTGCCTTTACCCCCACCATTGCTGGGGACCAAATGTGCCACTGTCCTCATGAGCAGCACAGCATGGAGCATCCAGACCAGTGCTTGTGCCCTGTGAATGGAGCAGCTCCATCATGGCACCAAATGTGTCATATCTAAGGCCAGAGACGGAGCTGCCCCCTTGTCCCTGACAAGCTCAGGGAAGGGGAGCCAAGAGCCCATCGTTTCCCCCTTCCTCACTGTATGCTTTTAGGTCACAGCCCCATTCAGGTGTCATTTTAAGACCATCCTCACAGCACAGGGCTCCCAAGGCCAGCCATGGCTGAGTAGCAGTCTGCCTGCCCCCAGGCTCTTGCTGTCCTCTTCTAGGAGAGTGCAGGACTCAGGAAATACACAGGTTTCCTACAAACTGCCATTGCAGGAACAACAGACCCCCATCACCTGATCTGTCTGGTTACTCATCCAGATGTGAAACCCCTGTCCTAGGCTTTGCACCCATCTTGGGAGCAGCCAGAGGACAGCACTGGTTAGAGACAAAGGAGTTTTCATCCTCAAACATGAAGCAGCTCACACACACCCAGCAAAGCTGACTAAGCAGATCTATTTCTAGCCTGGCACTCGCCTACCACACGCTGTTGATTTCTATGTATGTCTTGCCTTAAGCACGAGAGCCTCTGGCGTGGTGGTCCTGGGCTATGCACCCCATGTCCTGTCCCATCAGGAGCTCTTCCATCAGAGCCAGACAGGTTCTTCCAACACCAGCCTGTCACATCTCACTGCATCACAGCCTGACAGCACATATAGCAGCTGTGTTCCACAGGGAAACCTCTGGCTTTCACAGGGCAAATGCCACCGAAGCACAGGGGAGTTCACACACCAGTCACTGCTCTCATGCCCCGCAGAGTCATCTGCCCCTCACCTGCCTGGGTCTCTCCTTCCTGCAGGGACCGGATCGCTCGGATCGGTTTGGGAGTGATTCTGAACTTAGCCAAGGAGCGGGATGTTCCCCAGCTGGCACAGAGTGTCTCTGGTATCCTGGAGCACATGTTCAAACACACCGAGGAGACCTGTTTCCAGCTCATTTCAGATGGAGGCCTGGATGCTATCCTCTACTGGTGCCGCTGGACGGACCCCATCGTGCTGCGGCACTGTGCCATGGCCTTGGCCAACTGTGCCATGTATGGAGGACAGGCCAACCAGCGCCTCATGATCGAGAAGAGGACAGCAGAGTGGCTTTTCCCCCTGGTGTTCTCCAGAGACGATGAACTGATCCGCCTGCACGCGTGCCTGGCCATCGCGGTGCTGGCCACCAACAAGGAAGTTGAGAGGGAGGTGGAGCGCTCGGGGACGTTGGCTCTGGTGGAGCCGTTCATCGCCTCGCTGGATCCGGAGCAGTTTGCCTCTGAGATGCTGGGCAGCAGTGACAACAGCCAGGGGAGGACAGCAGATGACCTGCAGAGGCTGGTACCTTTGCTGGACAGCTCGAGGTTGGAAGCACAGTGCATCGCTGCCTTCTACCTCTGCATGGAGGCTGCCATCAAAACCAGGCAGAAGAAAACAAAGGTAAAGGGTAGGTTGGCCTGAAGGAAAGAGATGCAGAAGGGAAGGGTTGCCACAACTGCATCTTGGTGTCTTTTGCTTCTCTGTGAGCTCACCAAGTACCCTGTCCCTCAGCTGGCCTAGCACAGGTTGTGGGGAGGAGGAGGGAAAGCCAAGTGATGTGTCCTCCCTTTGTGTCCCCAGATCTTCAGTGAGATTGGGGCTACTCAGAGCCTGAAGAGGATAGTGTGCTACTCCACCAGCAGTACCACCTCCTCCCTGGCCAAGAAGGTGCTGCGTATGATAGGGGAGGAGGTTCCTCGGCGCATCCTGCCCACAGTTCCCAACTGGAAGCCCTGTGAGGTGCAGACGTGGCTGCAGCAGATCGGATTCAACAGTTACTGCCAGAGGTTCCTGGTAGGGCTGTGTGCTAGGGGAGGGACACCTGGATGGGCCCTTCTGCCCCATCCTGCAGCTGAAGTGTAAGCATCTCACCCAACAGCTTTTCCTGGGACCTTTCCAGCCTGGATTTCTCTTGGCAGGACCACCAGGTGGATGGGGACATTCTCCTGAGGTTGACGGAGCAGGAGCTGCAGGAGGATTTGGGGATGGACTCAAGCATCACTCGGAAAAGGTAGGACTGCCACCAGCACACGCTGGCCTCACTACAGGTCTGTGCCTTTCCCTTCTTGCAAAGACAAGAACCGAGATCCTCAAAATACAAATCCTGGCCTGTCAGGACTTTTCCAGTGCAGTATGCAGTCCCAGAGGGATTCCGGCGATGGGAAGAGGTGTGGGATGGGAAGAGATTACCTATGGCACAGGGGAGATGGGATTCTGCAAGTTACCCAGAAAGATGGGAACTTACTTGAGCTTCTCCTCCTTCAGCTCCTCATACCTCCATGTCCTGAGGACCAACAGTCACATAACTGCTCTCCTTTTCTATTCCTCTGGCTCACTCTTTCACCGTGGCATGCAGCTGCACTCTTTC